TGTTTTTGATCTTGTTTTTGCGTTATGCGGGCCTCTCACTGCTGTGGCCTCTCCCATTTGCGGAGCACAGGCTCCGGACGCGCAGGCCCAGCGGCCATGGCTCACGGGCCCAGCCGCTCCGCGGCATGCGGGATCCTCCCGAAACGGGGCACGAACCCGCGTCCCCTGCATCGGCAGGCGGACTCTCAAGCACTGCGCCACCAGGGAAGCCCCCTAAGTTTTTATTTTTTTGTTTTTGAGTTGTAAGAGCCCTTTATATATTCTAGATAACAGACCTTGTTAAATATATGATTTGCCACTATTTTCTCCCATTCTGTGGACTGTCTTTTCATTTTCTTGATAGTGTCCATCGATGCACAAAATTTTAAAATTTTGATGAAGTCTGATTTATCTATGTTTTCTTTAGTTTCTTGTGCTTTGGGTGTCATATTTAAGAAGCCACTGCCAGTATATGTATAGCTGATTCACTTTGTTATAAAGCAGAAACTAACACACCATTGTAAAGAGATTATACTCCAATAAAGATGTTAAAAAAAAAAATATATATATATATATATAATAAAAGAAGCCACTGCCAAGCCTAAGGTCATGAAGATCTGGCATCAGTGGTTCTGGAAATTCTCAGCTGATTCCAATGTGCTGCTCCCTTTGAGAATGACCAGCTGAAGAGCCTAAACCCTCAGGTGAATGTGAGCAAACCCTGCCTGGCCAGCCTCCGGGCATCTCTAGGCTGACGGTGTAGCTGAGCGCTGACCACCAAGCTGGGGGAGCAGAGGGTGTGGACCAGCGTCTGAGGAGGGCCCAAGCTGCAAACGGATGGCAGCCGGCTGCAGAGTGCTGTGCCGAGGGCCCTGGGCCCCATGACCGGGCAGGTGAGCGCTGGCGGCATCCCCAGCTGAGACGCTATGTCACCTGCCTGCGTTCTAAGGGCCAGTGGGCAGGGCTGGGATGGGTCCACACGCTCTAACCCCAGGGATCTCAAGGCGTGGTCCCCAGAACCGCAGCAGGAGCACACCTGGGACCTTGCAAGACATGCAAAATCTCAGAAAAGTAGCTCTGGGGGCGGGGCATGGAGATCCTCGGGAATGAGTTCTCCAGGTGATTCTGGGGCACGTCTTAATTGAGGGCCTCCTCTCCAGGCTAGAAACCCTCCATCTTCTTCTCTGCCTTCCTTTAACACAGGGGCCTGAGCATCCTCCCGCAAAGAAGGCTTTTGTCTCCCAGACCTTGAGGCTTCAGGACCAACAGGCCAGCTCTGCTCGGGGACCGCCCCCAGCCCCGACATGGAAGGACATCCTGGCCTCGCCCAGCTGCCACCTCCTGCCTCCCGCGCGCTGCCCCCGACCTCGGGCCGAGCAGGACCCCAGGCACAGGAAGGGAGGAGGCCACACAGCCGCGGCTCTTGTGGGTCGGGACCTGCTTTTCTCCCGCCTGGGGTGAGGCCAGGCAGCAGCCTCCTCCGACACTGCCCCCGACCCTGGACCGACCCCGCGGAGCCCCACCGCCTGATCACCTGAGGAGGCTGGACAAGCTGCCCGAGTGTGAGCCGTCACACTCCCGGCCAGCGACGATGGCCTTCCACGTCTTCCCGCTGAGCTCGCTCTGGGTGATGCCATGACGGAAGTACAAGGCCCGGTCCGCCCAGCCGATGCCCCAGACCTGGAACAGACAGAGGTGATGCTGCGGGGTGGGGCGGGGAGGGAGGGGCGGGTGCAGACTGGGGCTCCCTTCCCCTGGGGGTGTGGGGGGAGCCCCCCAGGTCTGGAGGACACGTCTGCAAATGCAGGCAGGGGGTGGGGGGATGCGCCTGTGTGGGTGGGCTGGGAAGGGGCTGAGGTAGCCGAGAGCTGAGTTCAGGACTCAGATGCAGGAAGCGGAGCCCCGAGGGGGCTGGCGGAGGGTGCGGCTCCAAGGTCAGGAGGAGCAGGGACCCAGCCTGGCTCCCCGACCTCAGGAAGACTTGGGCCTTTGGGGCAACAGCGTCCAGAGGAGGTGCTCGTGCCGGTAGGCACTGTGTGGGGACATGAAGTCCACCCATGTCCCCAGCTTCCCTGTGGCCTTGGTGGGAAGGGAGCTGTTCCCCAAGTGAACCCAGAGGATGGTCCTGGTCCTTTTAAAGATGCAAAATAACCTCCTTGATTCTGACCTCAGTTTTATGGGGAAGGTGGCTGGGCGGGCACTGAGGAAGGAAAGTGTGCTAGGCAGCTGAGGGGCCCAGGGGAGGGGACTGGGAGCAGCCCCTTGGGAGCCCTGGCCTTGGGGGTGCCTGAAGGTGGAGCCGTGGCCCCAGGTGGCCTTGCTGGGGGGGGCGGCTATGGTGTCTCTGTCACTTGGTTACCGCACGTGGCCTCCGTGCTCAGGCCCGTGGGCACCAGCTAGCACCCGCCTCGTCCCTGCCCTTGCGTGCCCAGCTCACCTGGGCAGGTGAGGAGTGTGTGCGGACACAGGAAAGGCCAGCCCCCCCGCCCCCAGGAAGAGCTTTCAGAGCATCGGGAAAGGCGTCACCTTCACACCCTAAGTCTTAAAACTAGCCAAACCACATTATCCACCAGAAAGAGGCTATGCTATAGGAACCATGCAGGTGATGTTTAAAAGATGCTGCTCTTACAAAGTTGGAAGATGTTTTGTCCTTTACTCAGTGATCTGATTTCGCCCCGAAATTTCTCAACAAAACTTTCCAGTCTCCAGGATGAATGTCCCTCCCCAGATCCGTGCTCGCTACCACTGCTCTGAGGGTCCTCGGGGGTGTGACCCAGGACAGTGGGGGCTCCAGAACTTGGGGGAAAGCAGCCCCCTTGGGTGCCCTTGCGGGCCTGGAGTGGGCAGAGGCGCTGCGATGCCCTCCGGTGCCAGCCTCATGAGCATGCCCAGTGGAAAGGGATAGCGGGAAGCATGGGAGGCCCCATTCTGATTCCTCTGCCGCCCCCCACCCCCACCCCTGGGGACCAAGGCTCCAGACCACACATACCTGGTCGTTTAGCCCCACGTTCACCATCATCATTTCTCCAACCATCTCGATCCAGCTGGTGCCGCAGGGGTTGTGAGAGTTGACGCCTCTTCGGAACCAAACCTGGGAAAGTCAGAAATAAACATACATCCCTGGAGGGCCACTGAAATAGAAGGGTTTTTTTTTCAAGGCCTGGGAAAACAAATGAATAATTTGGTCCTTTGGTTCAGGCCGCAGATGAGCACAGCACATTGTTCAGAAAGGATGCCCCTGACGTGGGGTTAGAAAGAGATCACGGAAGCAATGCGAAATCAACTTATTTCACTGTATTTGCCTCTGAGAAAGTCAAAATGACAAGCTCTGGACAGAGAAGAGGGGAGGCATTCATTTAGCTGAGGGCTTCAGAAAATTAGCTTCTGATTATTTGAAATGTTACAGCCTGTTGCACAATAATAAATACAGTCATTCTGCACTTTGTACAGGGGTGCAGGCAACGTTTGGGGGGTCACCAAACATCTTGGAGATCACCAGTGATATCAACAACAGAATACGCATGGTGCCTGGCTGACACTGGATTTGTTCCAAAGGGTGTAGACCACTCTCACGAGAACAAAAAACCACACAACCCTCAATGTTAAACAGAGCCCTTGGACCCAGCCCCCAGGGACCCCGTCCTACCTTCCGGTCCTTGGTGACGGCCCAGACGACACCGACTCCTGCGGAGACGTGCAGGATCCCGTTTTCAGATGTGGGAGGCTCCACCACAGACCACGAACTTCCTACCCGGCCCCAGAAGACAGTGCAGGTGGTCCCCATCACTGGGAGCTCCAGGGAGAAGGTGGGCGCCCCCGCCCTCCTCTGCCCCGCAAGGTGCAGGGCTACCCACCTTTGGGATTGTTCCTGTTGATTCCTTCCCGGACCAAGGCCTGTCCCTCCCAGAGCGACACCCACAGCAGATCGTGGGGCCCACAGCTGATCTGAACTGCCTCCCCTGGGGTGTCCACCAGGGACCACGACGAGCCTTCGGGGTTGGGGTGGCTGACGTCCTCTCTGTACCACACCTGGGTGGAGAGAGAAACCCACGGGGAGGGTCAGGCAGGGTCAGGCCGGGGCTCTGTGGCCGGGTTGGCTGCCCGAGCTTGGCTGCATTTGCATCAGCCCATGCACAGCCCAAGCATGGGGTCTCCAGGGGACCGGGGGTCTCCAGGGAACCAGGGACCAGGGTGCCGGGACTGTCCAGATTTCGCTCACCCTGCCCCCACTGCTGTCGGGATTCTCAACCAGATTAGATGCCTCCCCCACCCCTGCTAAAAAATGCAACACTGACACCTGGATTTTGGCGGTCCTAGGGTACAGACCTCTTCTGTCGTCTGCTTGACTTGTGAGAACTCCAGCCCCAGCCCGGGTGTCCTGCGCCCCCTAGTGGCACAATGCCCTCAGGACACCTGTCTCTAGGGGAAGCCGGGGGCCCCAGTGGCTGGATGAAGAAACCCCCAAGCCCCCTTCATAGGAATGTCTAAAACGTCCACTTCTTTTTCTCCTTAACCTGAAGACAGGGAGCATAATCAAATATTTAAGACTGAGCCACCCGCTCCTATTGCCCAAACTGGCTGATTTCATCTGGAGCGGGCAGCACATTGCTGCGTGGTCCATGAGGCCTCCCAACCCTGTCACCTTGCCCTTTTTTTTCTTTTTAAAATTCTTTATTAGTTAGTGGGATTTATTACTCATACTAATTTTATTTGTAAACTTTAAATTCTACGCTATCTGAACAGACTGCCTTAACACTTGTGAATTATGTGACATGATCTCACTTATAATAATGAATAAAACATGTTCAATGATTTAGCATAGACAGAACTTTCCAAGGACAAAAGAGACAATAGACTGGTTATAAGCCTCCACCATGATCACCATCACTCACAAATGCGTGTGCTATGGGCCCTGTTTGCACGTGATGGTTTGCTGGGTGCTTCCTCGAACACCTTATCCAGTGAATAAATCAGCAGCTGGATCAACTGCCTTCCTGCACTGCAGAGCCCGGCCTTGGCAGCCCCGCTTCTGCTACCTGCTGGTTTGGGCCCAACTGTCTGCCCGGCTCCTCCGGGAGCCCTGGGTCCTGGTCTCACCTTTTACGGACCATAGGAGTGATGCAGGGCAGTGCTGGCTCACACCTGGCGCTGCTCTCAAACCCATTCTCCCCTCTCTTTGCATCCAGGTGGCGTGGCCCCTTGATGCGGGCTGTCCCTGGCCAGCTCCCCACCACCCTTCAGTGTGGCTCAGAGAAAACTACTATGGGTTGACCTAAGCCCAGACCAAGCAGGGCCTGAAGGTAAGCCTGATAAAAGCCTGCTGTGGCTGCTCCAAAGCCAATCAGAGAATTTTGGTCAATTTGTGTTAAGGGTACTGAACAGTCACGAAGTATGCTCTACAACCACAGCCGAAGAGTTGGGTCACCTGCACCCAGGCCCATCCACGTCACTGTCACTGCTGCTGTCAGCAGTGGGTTTTATTCCTTCGCTTAGTTCACAAGCTCCCCGAGAAAAGAATCTCCTCTCCACCCACCCACACAGCTACCTCCACCCACCCACCCACCTATCCACTCATCAATATGCTTATCCACCAAGCCACTTGCTCATCCATCCAACCAACCAACCACCCATCCATCCATCTATCCATCCCCCTGTGCATTCATCCACATAACCGTCCATCCATTTATCCCCCCGCCCACCCCCCCCCCACACACACACATCTATACCCCTATCCATCCATATGCTTATTCATCCATCCTCCTACCCACCCACCCATCCACAATACTACTGGAGACTACCATGTGGGAGGCAGTACAAGGCAGCGGGCAGGGAGCTGAGATTCTATCTGAGGAGCCAGTATTGATGCCCTCTGAGCCCAGGGTGGACACTCATCAGTGCTCCAGGGGCTCAGAGGAGGGACAGGTCAGGAGCAGCCATGCAGTGGGAGGTCAGAGGCTTCTGGGAGGAACAGGTCCCCGTGGGTCCCCAGGACAGCAGGATTCACAGGAGGGGGAATCTGTGGGGACCCCGGTAACAGGCTGACCGCTCAGGGCAGCCCCAGCTGTGGGGACAGGAGGCGAGGAGAGGGTCCCGGGGAGAGCCCCCCTCCCTCCTCCACCTCTGGGAGGACAGTGGATGACAGCTTCTCTCCTGCCCGCTCCCTGCGGCCGGCCTCCTTCATCCGCCTCCCATGCCAGGCCGCGGGGGCGGGCACAGGCCTCACCTTCCCCTGCAGAGACACAGCCCACACGGACAGGCGGCCCACGGGCTCGTCTGTGATCTCCCAACCCCCCACAGAGATGTCGCTGAAGGGGTCAGGCAACCGCTGGGGGTCATCCTCCGATGGGATCTGAAACAAGGAGGTGTGAGGCAGTAGCAGTCAGTGCCTGTGGGCACCTGGGCCAGGAGGTGGCCCTGCTCCCCACCTGGTGGACACCTGGACGTGCACACTCCCACCTCCGGCTTCCCCTCCGGCCCTCAGCACGCTGCCTTCCGTCCTCCAGCTCGGCCCCAACGGACTTCTCAGGGCCAGCGGCGTCAGGACGGAGCGTTCCCAGCCCTGGGCCCCCTCTGCCCTGTCCTCCCCGTTGGCCACCAGGCCTGGGCTGCTGTCCCCAAGGAGTCACTCCTACCCCCGCTCTGCAGTGGCCTGACCGCTGTGGCTCCCTCCCCCCGATCACAGAACACGGCCCTGCAGTGAAGGCCTCCCGTGACACTGGCCGTCACCTTGCTCCCAGACTGCTCCCAGCCCCAGGGCCAGGCAGGCTGGGCTGGCAGCCCCACCTCGCAGCGTGGACCCTGCAGAGGGGTCAGGCGAGGGCCTGTGGCCTTCCTCTCGTTTGAGGCCACATAGGACCCCAATACAGGCCTTGCATCCCTAAGCTGGTTTTTGTGGGTCACTGGAAAAATACAAGAGCCGGAGCGGCTCCCATGCGGGGTGGGGGGCAGGGGAGGAAGACGTGCACAGACTGAGCCTGAGTCTGGGACAGGGCAGCCTGGAGACCAGGTCAAGACAATTCTGTGCTGTCCGGGGCCACGGTCTGGCCCGGATCCCCGAGAAACCATCTCCCAAACGAAGGGCTGCCCAGGGCCACAGCCTTCCGAACAGGAGAGCAGGAAAGGCCAGGCCCCGGGGCAGGCATGGCATCCCCAGAGCAGGGCAGGGAGGGTGGGGCTGAGGGCCGCGTGACCCTCCCCACTACAGGACTGCGCTCTGGGGCCCGCCCCCGGCCCCCCCACCCCCACCCCCCGGCCACACGCAGGCCCCCAGACCTTGGCCCAGGTGTCCTGGGACTTGTATCTCCTGTACCGGGTCCACCGCCGGCGCCGCACGCAGGAGTTCCACTTCTTGTCCCTCGTGTACGTGGCGGGGAAGTCAATGGCATATGTCCACCCCTGCAATACCAAGATGGGGGGAGGGGCCGTAAAGCTCTCGAGGAAGGACGTGAAAGAGCTGGGGAAGGGGGAGCAGGATGGACGAGGGGTGGAGAAGCAGCAGTGCGGCCCGAAGCATCGTCCCCATGGATCCCGTCCGGCAAGCGGGGAGCACGCGGGGCCCAGGCTGAGGTCTGATGCCACGGGGTGCTGGGGATAGCACTGCGGGGACGGGCCGAGCCCAAGGCGCTCCCTCCCCGCAGGGGAGCCCCGGCGGGACCCGAGTGCACCTACCCCTTTCTCTGTGGGTTCCCCTCCAAAATTCTCATCCACGTACCAGTCCGACTCCCACTCCCAATGCGGCGAGGGCAGCGCCACCCCATCCAGCGGCCGGTGCTGGAGCCCACTCACGTCACTCCACGGCCAGCGGTCACTCGGCAGGAGCGTCTCACAGAAGCCGCCCACGGGGTTCCAGCGCTGGGGGCCGGAGGCAGAGACCAGCCTTAGGCCTGGTGGCCAGGGCCTCTCCGAGGCCAGTGGGGACCTCCTCTCGTCTCCAGGGCGGGAAGGGAGCAGAGGGCCTGGCTCTGCATCGTGAGCCCGCAGTCCAGCCCGGTCCCAAAGGGCAGAGGACCTGCCGCGCCGAGCAGTGGGGGACACGGCCGTCCTGGGCTCCTGGAACCCGGCTGGAGCCCCGTGCCTGTGCGGACCTGGCCAGCTGCCTGGATAGGGACCCACAGGGGCTCTGGCCTCAATGACTCGGATGCTGCAGCACTCGGATCTCAGCAGAATGAAGGCGGTGAAGGCGGGAACAGGCCGGGAGCCTGGGGTGCGGGGGCCCTTATCTCCCGGCAGAGCGACCAGCCCAGCAAGCCCGCTGCTCAGGACCCCACCTGATTCTCATAGGCCTCCTCCCGGCAGCGGATGGGGACGTCGCTGGCGCCCACGTGCACGTACACCTGGTTGTCGCAGGCGATGCCCCAGCAGCACGGCGCGGCCGCACTGACCCGCTTGAACTCCAGCTGGGCGTCCCTGCACAGCTCCCAGTGCCGCCCGGCCGTGGACAGTGTGAACACCCTCCCGAAGAGATCCACCGCCCACAGATCCGAGCTGGGCATGGCCGCGGCACTGCGGGAAAACGGCGGCGGGAGGGCGAGGGTCAGCACCCACAGCCGCTCCCGGCCCGGGTCCAGCCGGGCCAGGCCGGAAGCCCGGGCCATGACCATCTCCTGCCACAGGGGGCTGAGCGGCCCCCCGCAAAGCAGGGGCAGAGCCCAGCTGCAGTCCAGGGCCCTTTTCTCTTCTCTGCCTTTCGCCCTTCTCGTGATGGGGATTTTTTTTCAAACACACAAAAAAGTCCAGAGGACAAAACGTGTAACATCCGAATACCTACTGCCCCCAATTTAATGAATGTTATTATTATCTGGTCATAGTTCGTTCAGATCTTTCTTGTCTAAAGAATAAGTGAAAAGTTGTAGATTTAATGAGTCCCAAACCTACACGCATCCTGCTGCGTCCCTGGGGGGCCTCTGCCCCACAGTGCAGAGGGACCGCCTTGTGCTGGTCCCCCTGTGACCTTCCTCTGTGCGCTCGTGGGGCGCCCCCACAGGCCCAGCACCGCCCCCCATCCCCCGAGCGACCAGAGCTCTGTGGCCGTGTGCGTGGCAGGGATGGGAGGGGCCTGTCTCTACCCTCCTTGTGTGCCCACCTTCCTCTCTCCCCCGACCCCTCTCCCGCCATCCTCCACTCCGCTTCCTTCTCTCCTTCCTTTCTTATCTGCGGGGGGTGGGCAGAGTCACGGCTGTGCTCTACCGCTCACCCTCCCAACCCCAGGGCTGACAGTGCTGCTGGGACGTAACTCCTCGAGGCGTGGCAGGGCCTCGTGGCCAGGCCCACGGCAGCAAAACAGAGCAGCTGGACGAGGGCAGTGCAGGGAATCCCAGTGAGCAGCTCTGCCGGACAGGGCGGCTCCCACATCCAAGACCCATCACTGCCCCAGGGCGAGACACGGCTTGTGTGGTTCGGAAACCAGAGCTACAGGGAGACAGAGCCTGGGTGCCTCGAGGCCCGGGCCAGGCTATTCTGCTCCCGAGACCCGCCAGGGGCACCAGGGCTGGAATGACTGGAATGACAACACGGATGCTGGAAACAGAAGCATCTGCTACTAGCAGTGAGGCTCTTTCGGAGAAAAGTGTGTCTTACAAACACCGGAGAAGAAAGAGCGCGGGCGGGGAAGGAAGTGACTGAAGGATAAAGAACAGGAAGCAGGGAAGTGGAGCAGGCGCCAGCTTTGGGAAACACCCAGAACAGGAAGTGGAGGAAGACGACGGGGGGTGGGGGTGGGGGTGGGGGGTG